CCCACACATATTTTATGGTTTATGGCAAGGGAGAAAAGACACCAAAATCCTTTCAGTGTTTGGGACCTCGAATTTGGCCCTGAACTTGGACATGCTATTTTTCAGCTGACTCTACTGCAAAGCCGAATTAATATTGTCATGTCGTGGTGTGGGTAAGGCTGATTAGGTGGGATGGTATAGGAAAACAGCATTGGCCACATGGAGGAAGCTGAAGACACAGAGTAAGCATAAACACAATATAAGGAGTGTTCTGTCCCTCCTTATTTCATGTGTCCCCATCTCAGCTGGTCCCACCCAGGCTTGAATTAACTTTTTTTTTTTTTTTTTTTTTTACACAGCTGTGGGAATGTTTTCACCCAGGAACAGAGGCAAACTGTCCCACACCCTGTAAAGAAGTAGTGCATGAGATTCCTCAATAGATTTTCCTTTCTGGACACAGTGGTGGCTTTGTTCAAGGGGCACCGGGTGCCACAAGCCATACCCAAATGTCTCTGAGAAATGTATCCCATCCAGTTCCCTGCTTGGCCCGACTGTAGCCTCTAAGCATGCTTTTGGCCTCTTTAGTCTCTGGGTTTCCCCAGACCCATACGTGGTCAGCAAGTTTTAAGTCACGTGAGCATAAGAAGCCAGCAGACCCAGCCCAGGGCCCTTTGCCCAGGCACCCCAGGTGGTGGCTCCGCAGCTCCCCTGGAAGCTGACCTGTTAGGCTGGCCAGTGTCACCCTTTGTTCATCTGCTGAGTACAGCATGTCTCCCAGAGCTGGAATCTGAGACGCCTTCTAAAGAACATAGCTCATTGCTACTGTGCCCTCCTTCATTCTGGGCATTTTTGAGGCTGCCTCAGAATGGTTCTTTCCATCCCCTTCCTTTAGCTGTCCCCAGAGTTCCCATCCACACTCGACACACCTCCTCCCTGGGTCTGCAAAAAACTTAGTAGCCAACACTGACTGTCCCAAATTGACACACGGATTCTCACAGGGAATCTGGGACACTGTTTCTCAGTGTCCTTTTGAAAACCAGAGGGCCAGGACCTGCTCCTGTCTTCTGATAGCAACAGCATTTGTATGTCACCTGCAGTTACTGAGGCTGGTATGCAACCAGGAGCTGAGTTTCTGGAGACGGTGTGTCCCCGAGTTCATGGGTCCCAATTTCTCACCTTTCCATCAGGCCCTGGCTCTAGCCAGCTTCTTGCCAAATCATATGCTTTTGAAGCTTATCTCACTTTTTGTTCCTAGTTCCACTGGGGGGGGGGGAGCATCATTTTTGGCCTGTCCCCAAAAGTGGCTGCATTTCCTGGAGAAGACTTAAGTCATGAAAGGAGACAATGGGTATGTCGATTAAAGGCATGGGTTCTTAAATCCAAATGCCAGGTTCGAATCCTAGGCTGTCTGAAACTGATCCATAGATGGAGCAAATTAACTTTTGGCTCTTCTCCTTTAAAATGAGGGAGAAAAAATGCTTGATAACAGGTACCAGTGAAATACATAACACATGTAACTAATTTTAGCCTCAGAACAGCCTGCGAGGAGGATTTACTTCCTAGGTTAGTGGTTCTCAACCTGTGGGTCGTGATCCTTTTGTGGGTTTGAGCGACCCTTTCCCAGGAGTTACCTAAGACCATCAGAAAACACAGATATTTATGTTACAATTCACAACAGTAGCAAAGTCACAGTTATGAAGTAGCAATGAAAATAATTTTGTGGTTGGGGCTCATCACACCCAACGTGGGCAACCGTATTAAAGGGCTGCAGCATTAGGAGAGTTGGGAACCACTGACCTAGGTACATTTGACAAGAAGGATGCTAACACAGCCCAGCAGATATGAATATGCAATGAGATGAACCATGGAACATTTAGAACGACGCCTGGCCTATTACGGGCAAGAAGTAAGCCTGAACATGATGCCCTCTGTGGTAGAGGGAGGTGCTAAGGCCATGGTGCTTAAATTAAGTACCTTCTAGAGGACATACCCCCACATACTTGAGAGATCTGCTGGTCCTGTCTCACTCAGGAAGTCCCCAAGGGAAAAGTTCACCAAGAAAGCAGAAAGCACAGTCCTATGTGTGGCTTTTGTGTTTATTCTCATCGCAGCTCTGGCACAAGTTCTCAAAATGACCCTCTGACTGGAAGATACCCTTCCTTTATACTTGCGGTTTTCGGGCTGGGATAGTGGAGGTATGAGTGGCTTCCCAAGGCAACCAAGACTCACAAGGCTTCCCCTGCACTGCTGCTGTCGAGTTAGGCCCTGAGCAGATCAGCAGCTTCCTCTGAGGTTGAGGCTGCTGCAGCTGCTCCACAGGCTCCTTGGGGACAGAGTCCATAGCAACTCAGCCCAGGAACTGCGGAATAAAGTCCAGCTCCAGATGCCTCCTGGAGGCACAAATAGCCTGCCGGGGAACCAGGGGAAACAACGCAGCAGGCCTCCCTGGATCCCGCCCACCCTGGAGAGGCAAAGGATGGCCAGGAGCTCATACTTGGGCCAGGAAAACTGGGTCCCTAGCCCCAGAGCTGCCCTGTCTTTCCCTGGGCTGTGGTCAGCATTCTTGGAGGTGGTTTTTCAGAGGAGTCGAAGATGGTGAAAGAGTGGCGCCAATGTCTCCCTCAAAGGCTTGGGTTCCAGACCCAAGGTAACCCTTTTCAGCTTCTTCAATGTCTACCTCAAGTGCCACAAAAGAGAGAGCATTATCAGACTCTCAGAATATAATGTGCCACTTACATTAGAATTGCTATTACATGCCAGCGGTTGTTCTTAGGAAAATGACAGGGTTAATATGGAGCATGCTGTAATACCTTGGCTATGTGTTTGAATCAGCTGGGAACCTTCTAAAGAGGAGCAATTGCTAAGGTCTCATCCCTGACAAAGCAGGTTAGGACCACCAGAGTAGAGCCCTTGCTCCATCAGCTGATGGCTCCTCAAGGGCCTTGAACATGTAGTCAGTACTAAGAACTGGGAAGTGGGGCCTCAGGCAGTGACCTCTAGTGCCCACAAAAGAGGCTCTGGAATTGTCCTCTGTCTGGCCAGTTTAACCCCAGGGCAGATCTATGTGTAGTTTATTCAGCTCAGCCTCCCACTGTCTGTGTCCTGACTTGTCCTGGGATCCTAAAAAGCTCTGATGTCCATTGTCCTTAGTGCCTTCTCCCTGACCAAACATGCCCCTTTGCTCTTGACCTTTACAAGGGGCAGCAGCATTGGGCTCTCGTTGCCCAGGCCTAGGGAAGAGCAGAGAGGTGCCTATCTTGCCATATACCACAGCCAGATTTTCAGAAGCAACAATCTTCCTGCCCTCCCCCCAAGAGTGCCCATCACCAAGGGATGAAAATAAATGGCTGCAAATGATGCAATTCAGAAGTCCATTCCTGGCCCAGTGGCCCAAGAGACAGGAAAAACACTGGAGATCACATTGGCCAATCTCCTAGTGGAAGAGACTGTGAGACCCTGAGCAGGGAAAGGGCGTGCCTGGGGCCCTGCCTGAGCAGAGTCAGGCACAGGAAGTAGAAAGTGAACGTGTTAAAAACCACCCCACAAAAATAGGCAACCACTCTCCCTCTCCTTCCCATTTCTCACTGAGATAACCTGTCGGTTCCTGTACTGCCATTTTTTTCTCCCTTCTAGACTATAGAAACTGCTACCAGGTATCAATAGGAATTTCACTAAAAATCACGTCTGTGATAATCCATATAATGGAATTCTACAGAGTTATTAGCAAGGGTAAAGTAAATCCGGGTTGCTGTCTCCCAAATGTGTTAAGTGTGAAACGAAACCCTTGTCTATCTGTTATCGGCATAACCATTGCAGACTTATGTAAATTCCTGCCTCTAAGCTGCACAACATCCTCTGTGGTTACTAAGTCTGCACAAGCTGGGGGCAAGGTGTGTGTGTGCAGGTGTCAGGTATAACAGAAAAGCATCAGCAGTTAAAGGATAAATGTTGATCCACTTCAGGTAGAGAAGATAAAAACCAAACACTTAAAAAAAAAAAAAAAAAGAGCACAGTTAGAATCTCCACCCAACAACCTGTCTGCAGACTGAAATATTAGCAATAAAACTGCCCACGCCCAAGGACACAAGGGAGAAAATGTGTCTTATGCAAGGACAACATGAGGTGTCTTGAGTGTAGTCTCACGCTGGCCTACATTAATTGGGTAATGACAAGTAGGAAGGTGTAAACTGCTTAAAAACTTCAGTGCAGGCCAATGAGATGGCTCAGTGGGTCAGGACTCCTGCCGCCAAGCCTCATAGTTTGAGTTCAGTTCCCAGGACTCGGAGTGGAACTAGAGGGCCAGCTCATTAAAGTAACCTCTGATTTTCACACAGGCATAGGGACACATGTCAAGATGTACACACACATACACACAGACAAAATAAAACTACAATACAAAAATAAATAAATAAATAAATAAATAAATAATAAAAAAAAAACTTTCGGTCATCAATGTGTAAGCATGCCTAAGCACAAAGTCTATAGCACATGTATACATGGGATATTTCTAAAGGCTCCAGAGTGCAAAGAATAAAGACTAGGGAGAGGAACCAAACTAATGTGGACTGGAATTCATTTTTCATAGTTTACCCTTCATGCTGCTTTTTCATTATATCACATATAAACTTTCATATTACAAAACTAGTCACGTACGTAACTACTGATCTCCAAGAAGCCAGGAGAGCCTTGGGATTGTCTAATTCTATGCCTGTGTGTAGAGATTTCAGCTGGTTAGGTTGATTTGTGAAGTCTGCAGTATTCCAGTTAGGAATCAGCTTCAGTCCAAGGGTTTCTTCAGAGCCCAAATCTAGCTTTTCTTCACCCGCTCCTGAGTCAGGGAGGAGGAAAGGAGGGACCAAGAGAGCAGCGTGTGAAGCTCAGCTAAAATCCCAGCTCTTCTGCTCAGCGGTTGCTCCGGGGATGCCCCTTTCCTGTCACCCGTGCATGGCCAGCCGTGTAGCAGACAAAGAGGGGCCCTCTGCGAGCACCGTGCCTACATGAGACTGCACTCCTTCCTACAGGTACCTGCTGGAACAGGATTTCCCTGGCATGAGGATCGGGCCGGAGCCAACCACTGATTCCTTCATAGCAGTGATGCAAGGAGATGTGGAGGGTGTCATCCCTGGGAACGCCCTGGTGGTGGACCCCAAGAAACCCTTCCGAAAGCTCAATGCCTTTGGCAACGCCTTCTTGAACAGGTGAGTTGAGGTGAGGGTAGAGGAGCACAGTTGGGTCTCTTTGCACAGGGGTTGAAAGGGGAGGGGTGTGGTCCTGGGAGACTGTGCCTTTTCTGCGCCAGCTTCTTGCCTGGCTCCTGAGTGTAACTGAGTCACTCACTGTGGCCAGTGCGACACAACAGCTGTGATGAAGGAGCAGAGAAGGATCTGACCTGGATTACATGGCCCTACCCTGTGATCCCACTCCTACCCTAGTAAAAGCACTGAAGGAAGTTACATGTTTCCCAGCATTTGCTTACATTATGCCAGGGATTTTTTTTTTTTTTTTTTTTTTTTTTTTTTTTTTTTTTTTTTTTTTTTATGTTCAAGTAGAAGGGAACAAACAGAAGGTGGCTTCTGGCTCCTGAATTTTCTACTTTGGAAAGAATACTGGTCTTAAAGAAGAGGTTTTGGGCTTGAGTAGTAGCTCTCTTAAGCTCCTGTATGCCCTTGGGGAGGTTCACCTCCCTTCTCCTAGCACAGGTTCAGGCCAAAAAAACCAAGGTCATCATGAGGATTTGAGTGGAGAAAGCCTTAGAGCAGTGGCTCTGAACCTTCTTAATGCTGCGACTTTTAATACAGTTCATGTTGTGGTAACCCCTTACTTAATAACTGTACTTTTGCTACTTATGTTATGAATCATAATGCAAATATCTGTATGTTGCCTGATGGTCTTAGGAAACCCCTGTGAAAGGGCGGTTCAATGCCCCAAGGGAGTCATGACCCATAGGTTGAGAAGCTGCTGCACTAGAGTGTGCTAATCTGGGCTTTCCTGTTACAACTGGGCTTAACTGGGATGTGGACAGGTCCCCTGTATGTACTGGTTAATACAGTTAGTTCAACATATGCATATACATACACACACACACACACACACACACACACACACACACATATACATCACACTCAATTTCAAAGCTACTTTTTCTAAGAGCTATTTCAAGAGAAGGTAGTTACTATGGGCTTTGGGTTTAGGTGGGCCTGGAACCAGATCCCGCCTTGAACTGTGGCTCTTAGACAAGTTACCACACCTCCCTGCGTCTCACTTTTGCTCGTGTGTAACGTAGGATAATAATAATACTCCGTGGGAGGAGTAGAAGCAGAGGTGAGATGCTGAACAGAAAGCACTGATGTCTAGAACATAGTAAGTAACAGAAATGGTAGACTGCGGTAGGATGGCTAGTTACTGTGTGGGTTTTGCTTTTTTAATTTTATTCCTGGGCTGGAGAGATGGCTCCGAAGTTAAGAGCAGGGACCTAAATTCTGTTTACGGCATCGAGCTCCAGCTGCTCACTGTAGACGGACCAGCACTCCTTCCAGCCTCCATAGGCACCGTTCACATACACATACCCCAACATAGACACATATGTAAACACAGAGTTAAAATTTAACAAATTAATCTTAAGCTGGTTTCCTAATTATCCAGTGAGAGAAATGGGTACCTACTGGCACCATTTTTATCTCTAGAAACTAAGGCTTATTGTCCAGGGACAGTCTCAGTGTCGCTTGGCCTGTCAACTTTCCTACAGTGACGTGCAACCCATAATACTCTGAGGTAAGAAGGCAAAGGTGGCCTGGTAAACAATTTGGAATGGCGGCTGGCAGGGCCTGTTTCCAAAGCACAGCCAGGAGACAAGAAAAATCCCTGTGGGCAGTTGGTCTGGTGAGAGGGACCTCAGGAGGTAGGCGTGGCTTCCTAGAAAAGACAGTTGACCAGCATAAATGAATGGAGGTGGTGGCTATTGGGGTGTATTGGGGTGGGGTGTTAGAGACCAGGAGTTCCTGCTTCCTGGAGCTGAGTGAGGAAGGCCTAATCCAGGTAAAGGGGGAGAGAGGAACATGAGCTACTAAAACACAGAGGAGTTATGTGTTGAGGGAAGATGATGTAAAAGAATGAGTCAGCAGCAGTGACTGAGGCATGGGGGTGGGGAAGAGACATGATGCATTCCATTTTGGATGCTTCAGTTTGCAGTGAGTGAGTCAGCTAAGGAGCTTCATTCCGAGGCAAAGATGAGCTGGGGAGAAGAACCTGGGGCACAAAGAGTCAGTCATCCAGAGATGGAGGGCAAGGTTAGTGGTTAGCTCCCCTTCAGGATAACTGTTTAAATGGTAATAGTATCTATATGTAATGGTATATGGTCAGTGATGATAACAGATTTATGTCATTACCATAGCAGCCAGCACATTCCTGACAGAGGAGTGCCTTTATATCATTAACCAAAGCCAGCAGGTCCCACTGACTCTATAATTAGATTTCTGAAACCAAGCAAGTGTATGTGGTGAGTCTGGGTAACAACACATAAACACGTTCAGTATTGCTGTCTACATCCATAAGATGACAAAATACAGGCTGCAAAATCTCTGGGCACCGCTCTCTCCCTGCAAATATGTAAAGAAAACCTGAGAGGGGAAAAACGTATAGAGAGCAGGCAGCTGTACTTGTGTGAATTTCACACTTGAAATATGAGGGGGAGAAGGATGAGGGAAGACACTATCTCCACTGTCTTGCTGAATGGTGTTCTTTTTTTTAAACCATAGAAAAGTATAATTTAAAATATCCCAAAAGTAATGTATAAAGAGCATATATGTGAGGGTGTTATGGGGGGGGGGGGGAGTACCAGAAGGCGATGGCTCTAAAGGGCCTGCCTTCCCTCTTCTAATCTGTGTTTTTGGTGATTAAAATGTTTGGCCTGAAGGCGCAGACCCATGCGCCTTGCTTCATGGTTCCTGGCCACAGGGACCTGCACAGTGCCGCTCTGGTGAAGCCAGACTGGAGGAAGGAAAGCAGGATGGCTGTCTTCAGGGCTGCCTCATCCCCCAGGCACAGTGGGGAAGGATGCAAAGAGGGAGTGCATGTGTTACTGTAGGAGACTCTAGGCCTGAAGGCATCAGCTTGGGTGAGCTCAGCAAGAGGCTTAGAGCAGGACTCTCAAACTAGAGGGTGGGTAATACCGTGCACGAACCACTAAGTCAGTGGCTGAGATGGCCAACTGGGGACTGTCAGTGGTGACCACTCTTCTGTCTGGTACTAGTTATAGATTCCTGTTCACCTTCCCTGTGCCAAAGAGCAGTCCTGTTTCACACCTGGTTAATAGCCATCCCTGTTCCTCCTGAATAAGGCCCACAGCCACCCTAGGGCAATGTCGGGATGAGCTAGCCTTGTAGATGCCCGAATAACACACTCCTGGGTGGTGCAACCCATCTCTCAAGGCCCATTCTCAAGGCCATCTCCTCCAGGAAGCCCTCTCTTAAAGCTACCTTTCTGCCTGTGTTTTAACAAACCCTTTTCTGACTTTGGGGTGCTGACCTCTCTATACCCTGGCTTGTCATTGCTGTGTATAGATAGCATCTTTGCCTCCACCAGGGACAGGAATTGAAAATTGGTATGTCATGGGGATCTTGACACCAAGAGTTCAGAGTATGGGCCCAGACTTCCTTAGGTTCACCTTGAAAATTTCTCAAAAAGCAGAACTCCAGCTATACCTCAGTCGCTTTCTTGTGTGTACTCGTGGTTTTCTGCTCTGTACCCATCTACTTACTGTCTGGTGCTAAATAAGGCTTGTTGGTAACAACACGTGCAGTGATTGGCCACCAACGATCAAGTCAAAAGGGGGTTCCCATAAACTGACTGTGTGCAGACCTCAAGATTTAAGAACACTGCAGCACAGGTAGAGTTCTGATTGGGCATCAGGTCAAGCTAAGTAAAAACTTCCAAGGCAGGAAGTGGCTGGCCAGTGGTCATTAACGACTTGGGGCCATGGGCATTAAGCCAGGGCTTTGGACATACCTGGCAGATGGGATATCATTATGGAGTAGCCTAGTTGGCCAGCCAACATTTTACCAAGTGCCCTGCATACCAAACCACTCCAAAACAGGATATGGCAGGTGGCAAGAGAATCATAACTCACTCCCAGGCTCAGCTACCATACCTAGCAGGCCCACACCATGGAAAGTGGGGACTCTGTGGAGGATCAGGCAATTGAACTCTGGAGGCTGGGCCAGGGTGGTGACTCAGTGGTTTACCGAAGCTTTCCTCTCACTATCTGTGCAGGTTTGTGTGCGCCCAGCTGCCCAACGCTGTGCTAGAAAGTATCAGTGTCATTGACACGCCGGGCATCCTCTCTGGTGAGAAGCAGAGAATCAGCCGAGGTAAGCCACGTTCCTGGTGGGGGGTAGATCTAGCCTCCCACTCCTGGCTTCTCCTGCCATGTTTGCTGTATGCCTCTGAGTGGCCCATTACCCTTTCAGCTGTGGGTCTGGGACTCTGTCTCAAAAAATAGTCTCATAAGCCAAGGCTGGCCTTGAACTCCTCTATGGGTCTCTGCCTCTGAGATTACAGGTCTGTGCCCCAGCATCCAGCTGCCCTATCCTTTCTGTGCTACGCGTTGTATCTTTAGCAAGAGAATCAGATGAGATGCACTCTCCCAAAACCTTGTGCTGGCAGCCTGGAGTGGGGCCAAATTAGCACTCAGAAGTCAACCTTGGACTGGCTATCTTCTCTGGGAAGTGGCCAGGGCTCTCTCCTGAGTTGACCTCAGATAATGCATGCCTCCCTGTGGCATACGCCTCAGCCCAATTTGCTCCACAACTCCTCAGAGACATAGGGCTGACCATCTATGTTACCATCACAGTGGGGGCCCAGGAAGCCCTTCCTGAAGGGCTTGGCCTGCACAGGTCAACACCCACTCCTTCCCAAGCCTCAGAGAGGACAGTCATGGAGCAACGGGCATATGACCCATAGCTCTAGATCCTTGGGGCTTAGCAGTGCAGACCTGTGGCCAAGGGAAGGCTCTGGGCTTCTCTCTTGTCCCCCTTTGAGCTGCCCTGCTTTCCTCTGTGAAGATAGCAAGTCTTTTCTAGGAAACGTGGATGTAGAAAGGCTCAGCTCCTTGGGGCCACATGGTAGCTGTGTGTGAGCACAAGCAATGGGAGAGACTGCTGGAGAGGCCCTCTGGAAATAGCCTTGCCTAGTTGAACCCCAGGCAGGCCTTCCCATAGAGGCCCCATACTAAAGCAGTGTTGGAGATGGGCCTCATGAAGTATCTGAGCAAGACCTTCTCTGTTCCAGGAGGTAAAACCTGTAGAGCAGAGAGGAAGGAAGCGTTTGAATTGGGAGGACATCTCCTAGGTTCACAGGTTCTTCCTTCCAGGTTCACAGGTTCTGTAATTGGTGACCTGTGATGGAGTCCAGGAAGCCTGGTCCCTTGGCCCCCTAACTCTGGGCCCTGATGGAATGAGGAACCATCAGTCACCTATGGAATTCTGGGTCTGAGTCTAGGCCTAAAAGGATTTATAGGCTCACAGGGAAGTCTGCAATCTTGCTGGGGAACTCTGGGAGAGGTAGTACTTCAGGCTGCAGGGGGTGAAGGGTGCATCTCACGCACCTGCTAAACCAGCACAGCCTGGCTTGCAAGCTGGTCTGGAGAGGACAGCCTCTGGGGGTCCAAGGGAACTAGACTAGTAGTTTAGTGCTGTGGACCTACAACGCTGGAGGGCACAGGAAATGCATCTTAGAGCCTTCTTACAAGGTCCACGGACCTCTAGTCCCTGGATCACAATGGGCTCCCTTCTTCCCTCCCTAGCTGATATCCAGGGCTACATGTTACATGACTCCACGGTCAGCCATGTGATCCACCACCCCTGCATCTGCGCCTGTGCAGATGAATAAAGCAGCCTGTCTCCAGGGATTCCCATCTTCCTCCCTTCCGGTCCTGCTCCACCCTTTCCCCACTTCTCTCCAGCCTTTCTCTGGGCACTGGTGTTCTTGACTGTAATCTCAGATCCTCCCTCTGAAATCTGATAAAGCAGCGGGCTCTTCTTATCTCCGAGCAAAACAACGACTAGGCTAGAACGTTCTCTGCCATCCTGAGTCCAGAATGATGCAGCTGCTGGCAAAAGCAGCCCGGGAGACAAAGAGGAGATGGCGTGGGACAGTGCTGACTTCAGCACCCTGAGAAGACCAGGGTCAGGGAGGACATCAGATACCCCAGTGACCTGGCTGGTGGTGGGACCTGAATTGGGAATATTGCCTGGGTGCACAGCCTCCCCCATCCTTCCACGTGGTTAGCCATAAAGCCAGAGTTTCCATTTAGCCTCCTCCAGACCCCCTTACTCACACATTCTTCACACATATACCCACTTCCTACCCTCCCCCACATGCAGGCCGGCACACCTCCTAACACCTACATGTGAGTGTGTATACAGATCTAAAGTCGGTTGCCCAGACTTCCTTCACCCCTGGGGTTGGCCACAGTAGATTTGGTACTCCCTTCCACCCTCCTCAAGCCCAGGTGGTCCAGGCCTCCTCAGATATTCTTGCTGACCAAGCCTGGCATGAGGGCTCTGGCTGAAGGGTTATCAGAGCCTGAAACTAAACCCCTGTCCCTTCACCACACCACTGCCTGGCCCAGGGCTTGTGTGTTAGCAGAGGAACTAGAATCAAGTCAGCCAGAGACACCTTGCTCTAGACTGCCCAATCCCTGGCAGTCTTGAAAGGGGAGCTGCTCCTCAGAGCTCCCAGGAAGGACCTCAGGCATCATAGGAATGAGCATTCTGCTCCAGGCTAATGACAAGCAAAGTGTGGTCCTTGCTTCAGGCTGGGGGGATGGGAGGGGTGTCAGTGGTGTATGTCTCTAAAGAAGCTAAGTCCACGGAGTTTTAGGTAGCACTCAACTCTGGAAAAAGGCAGGGGAGTGAGCAGGAAAGGCAGGCAGAAAGCTGTTCCTGGAAGGGGCAGGATATGGCTGGCCCTCATTCATTACTGGGAAGGAGCACGGATGCTGTAGTAACAGGGGAATTCAGAGGGCGCCGGAAGGCTTCATACCTTCTCACTCGGAAGGCACGGCACGTTTCCCGAATGTATCTCAGACTGAATCCACTCCCCCAACTCCCCCCAACAAATTCCACACTGGGAAAGTCATTTCAAGGCTTCATGCTCTCTCAGATGGCACACAGATGGAAGGCCCTGGTCCAAGTGCTCAGCAGGCTCAGAACTCAGAACAGGTGACACTATTGGAACAGGAGCCCTGGTCTCCTGAGTCCCAGGCCTCAGCTTTCAGCACATTACCATAACCTGTTATGGAAGATGGGGGTGGGGGGAGGAATGAGGACAAACTTCTCATCTCCAAGTTTTCTCTTGAGACTTAGGTGATCTGCACCAATCCTTACAGCCTACTCCTGAGCACTTAGGGGCTCCTGAGGTCCCTCTGATGACAAGCTAGTAAACCCACGCTTGTGTGGGTGCTCGAGTGCCAATGCAGAGCAGCTTGTAAACATCTCTCTAATCTAACAGATTTTCAGAGGGTATGCTATATGGCCACTGCAAGGAAGTGCTTGGCTTCAAGCCGCAGGCTCACTCACCCAGGGCTAAGAACTAAGAAGAGAGTGTAGATCTGGGCTCTGGGCCTGCATTTGCCGGCACCTGGCCTGGCTGTTTGCTGAGTAATGCCCTTAACTTCTCTGTGTCTCCACTCCCTCTTGTGTAAAATGTGCACACCCCTGTTCACTCTTGGTGATGGGGAGCTGTAAGGATCCACTGGGGTCAGTTTGGAACTGAAAATGCGAAGAATGTCAGACACTGAGGGAAGCACTGACTGAGTTTGTCTCATTGATTTCCTCCTGACTGGCATTAATTAGAAATGCTTTCCCCTCAGCCCCTGGAGCCCGGGGGCGGGGCTGCAGATCCCCACAGGCTTCCCAGACTCTGGCCTGGAGCCTATCCCCTGGATCCCTCCGTGCCAGCAGACATTCCAGGAAGGACCATTTCTGTATTCTGTCTCTCCACCCACTGATCTACAATTCAGAGACAAGGGGCTCTCGCATGTATTCAGGAGTAGCTACCGAGGGTCCCAAAGCCATTCCTGAGCTAACGGGGCATATCATGGGCATGCTGTGCATATCTTGCACTAGAGCAGTCTCTAGACTGAGCTCTCTCCTCCTCCTAACATCAGGTCTGCTTTTTATGGCTACGTCATGGGCTCTGCATTCAGCCAGTTGTAACCATCCACATGTTTACAGCCAAGTTACAAAGTAAATAAATGGTAATTAATATAAAAAAATAAAAATTTAATAAAAAATGAGTTCAGACTTGCAGAAGGCTATTCAAAAGCAAGTGGGAAAGCTAGCCCTGTGCTCCTCCCTGACTATGCCCAGTCTTTGCCTTTCCCATGCCTTTATTTCTGGGCATACACATAAGTCCAGGCTATAGAAGCAATGATCGCACAGGCCCTGGAGAAGCCAGGAGCCCTGGAATAGTCAGGAGCTAGGAAGGTAAGCCTCAGAGGAGCTCACAGAGTCAGGGCTGGATTCAGTCTCACTGTCTTCCCAACCACACACCTCAGAGAGGATCCTTGCTGCTTGTCATTTGATACCAGCTTGCCAGAGCTTGCAGAATTTGCAAAAGTAAGAGGATTAATAGGAATTCTCTGTGCTTATGACATCATAGGAAAGGTTCCTGGAAGCCATCTGCTTGTCAGCAGATCCGAGGAGGCTTCCTGTAGACATGCCTAGGGCATCAAAGGCTGCAGCCTCCAGGCATCCTCTTCCCCTAGGTACATAAGGCGTCCTTGTGTCTCACCTCCATCTCCCTGTACTCCCACCCTCACACCTCTGGCCCTGGAGGCAGAGAATTGTAAACCAAGAAAAGAAATTCACAGACCATCCATCCTGGGAGCAGAGACCAAGGATAAGCAAGGGGAATCTATTGCCCAGCATATCAACTTAATAACTGAGCAGAAAACTACAGGGGAACCCACTGAGGCTAGTGATCCTAGACAGACAGACATGCAGAGCAAGTTCCATCCTGTGGGAACATACCTGAGGAGTTCTTTCTAAAGGGGCTGGGCATTTGGCCAAGGTCATAAGTAAGCAGTGCTACCTGCTCTTCATAGATTTGACCTTCGTAAGCCTGTGATCAAGGCATTGGTGGCTCCTAGTTTAGAGACTGGAAAACTAAAGGTTGAGAGGTGACTTGTTCAGTGTTTCCTGGATGTAAAAGGTAGAACAGGTTTCTAGGTCAACTGCGTGCAGCATATGCTGATGGAGTACCTGCCATGTGTGCCCTGGGTGCAGGGGAGATGGAGAAAGGGGTAAAGTGACTCTGTTCATGGGGGCTGTGCAGAGAGTTCCTTAATTGTATGAGGGAAAGAGATACCCCTTATTGTTAGGGAGACAACAGCTTAGTTGGTAAAGTACTTGTCATACAAACGTGAGGATCTGAGTTTGAGTCCCACAACCCACCTAATAAAAAACTGGCCGTAGAAGCAAGTGTGTCCTCTTCTATTTGTAATCTCAGGACTGGGGAAGCTGAGACAGGAGGATTCCTGGGGCTTTCTAGGCAGCCTGCATAGCCCATTTGGTGAGTTCCAGGCCAGTGAGATAATCTGTATCAAAGCAAAAAAAAAAAAAAAGCATGGAGGATAGCTCCTGAAAAACGACCTCCCAAGATTGGCCTTAGGCACCCCAGTCCTGAGAACAGATGTGCACATGCCTACACACACATACACATTAAAATGACAGAAATGTCTACCCAAACCTCCTGGATCACACTTGAGTAATAGGTTTCAGCCTCCTGTTTTTTAAACTTTTTGGGAGACTCTGGCTAAGTCAGAGCTTGCAAAGTCTGACTCACGTCCCAAAGCAGCTGCTAAATGACCTTACCCGGGCTCTTGTCTCACTTTCTTAGGCATGGGAGAAACATGTGGCCTTTTCTTAATGGCTTTGTTCTTACTTAAAGATGACAAAAGGCTTTGGGTCTCTGTGTCATATCCCCATGTGACACTTGTGCTGCTGGGAACCAGGATCGCTGGTCAAGGGAACACTCCTGTCTTAATGCCAGAGCTGTGCCAAGGGAGAGGAGTATAAGAGTCTGAATGCCCTGCTCTGAGGCAGAGTGGGAAACCCTGAAACCACCACTCCCATCAAGTACTGGTGGCCCTTACACCAGTCACATGACCTCTTTCCCGCTCTTCCTCCTGCATTGTCCCATGTCTTGTGGAAGAGGCTGAGAGGCCATGTCCTGCTGTGTCAGTGAATACAGACCATTGGGACAGCCTCTCCCTCTCTGGTTGACTTTTCATCACTGTAACAAGCATGTAAGACTAATGACTTGAAAGGAAAGGAGGTCAGGTCCATGGTCTCCTGGCTTCACTGTTTCCGGGCTTTGGTAAGAACAGAACATCAAGGTATGCGAGCATAGCAGAATAACATTGCTAACATTTTAGGGACAGAAAGCAGAAAATGAGAAAGAAGAGCTCAGAATGAAAGTCAGTTTTCCAAGGTTGCCCCTCCAACCACCCACCTCAGTGACCCATTCCTCCACATAGCCTTTGCCTCCCGGTTTTCAACTATCTCTGAATAAAATGCCCTCGGTACTGTGAACCCACCAAGGAGTTAACCCAGAGCCTTCATGATCCATTCACTTCCCCAATGTCCACCAGCTAGCAATCAGGCCCCCACTATGAGTCTTTTGGAGTCCACTGCGTACCGAAACCACAACACCTTCTCCCTCTCCCAGATCTGAAATTGTTTGGCACTGAGGGGAACGGGAGCTCTAGAGTTCCTGGAACCAGCCAGGTTTGAAGTAACTCAGTGCTGGATAAGGAGGTGTGGCTGCCAGGGCCTACTCACATCCTCAGGAAGGACTCCTGCACAGAACAGGAGTTGGGAATTTGGGGCTGCAGAAGCTGAGGAAGGAAGTGAGCGTTGGAGCTCTAGGAGAACTCAGACTTCTTCCCAACCAGGCATGGGTGTGGCCTGAACCTGCACCACTAACTCATCTTCTGTTTTGTTGCTTGTACCTCGTCCAGGATTCCTGAGTCTTTTTTCAAATTCAAAACAGGTATGCAAACTGGTCTTGATGATGCACACCAGGAACCTTAGCATCTTGGAGGCAGGAGGATCACAAGTTCAAAGCTAACCTGGCCTATAAAGGAAGTCCAAGGCAAGATAGCAAGACCCAATCTTAAAATATCAGCGCGAAAATAGTGTCCAGAGTTCTTTTCCTAGCAGGAGCCCTGACCCCTAACTTTAGAAAGTAAGATAATGGATAGTGGCCACGGCTACCCTTTGTGGGAGTAGCAATGCTTATAGTAGAATCCAGCATCTATTGAACATCTTCCTCACCCTACTAGCCATATGCTTCCTGATGACCACCTTATAGACGGAAAATTCTAGGAAGCCCTAGCTCAATGGGAGAGCAATTGGCTAGCAGGCATGAGACCCTGGGTTTGATGCTTACTCCTGCAAACACACACACACACAGAGGAAGAGAGAGAGAGAAAGAGAGAGCAATTTGCTCATGATCAGTTAAATGAGAGGATCCAGGATCTGAACCCAGAGATAATTTCCAAGATTGTGTTATCTTACATCAGACCCTTCACTATACTTCCATGCCACAAAGCCCTTCCTGCTAACTGTCACTCTGCCACAGGGTATGATTTTGCTGCTGTCCTCGAATGGTTTGCTGAGCGGGTGGACCGCATTATCTTGCTCTTTGATGCCCACAAGCTGGACATCTCTGATGAGTTCTCGGAAGTCATCAAGGCCCTCAAGAACCACGAGGACAAGATGCGAGTAGTGCTGAACAAAGCTGACCAGATTGAGACCCAGCAGCTGATGCGTGTATATGGGGCCCTCATGTGGTCCCTGGGGAAGATTGTGAACACACCAGAGGTGATCCGGGTCTACATTGGCTCCTTCTGGTCTCACCCTCTCCTCATTCCTGACAACCGGAAGCTCTTTGAAGCTGAAGAGCAAGACTTATTCAAAGACATTCAGAGTCTACCCCGTAATGCTGCTCTTAGAAAGCTCAATGACCTCATCAAGAGAGCCCGGCTGGCCAAGGTAAGGCTGCCACAGGTAAATGCGAGTTCAAAGGTTGCAAGAAGCGAGGTCCTTTAGATAGGAGAGTGTGAGAGGTTGTGCGGCTGGCTCTGGGTTAGATGGCTGGGTTGGAGCTCAGCTCCGTCACCACCTCCATGATCCCTAGGAGGGCTATGCTTTTATAGTTTCTCTGTGCTGTCATCTACATCTGTGAACCGAACACGGTAATGGAGGATAAAGAGGAATGGATTGTACCATATACATTCAGTGGGTACCATTGACATCAGTGTCTGTAGCAGCAGCAATGGCAGCATTCCACCCCCACCACCGTGACCTTCCCTCCTGATATTCTCACCATACTAGCCCAGTGCTATGAGGAATGGTCTCAGAAGCAGGGGCAGGAAGTGGGACTAGAAGGGCCAGTTCTAGTTCCTGTTGGGGCTGCCATCTGCCTCTCTTTGTCAGGTCCATGCCTATATCATCAGCTCCCTGAAGAAGGAGATGCCCTCGGTGTTTGGGAAGGACACCAAAAAGAAAGAGCTGGTGAACAACCTGGCTGAGATTTATGGCCGGATTGAACGAGAGCACCAGATCTCTCCCGGAGACTTCCCCAACCTGAAGAGGATGCAGGTAATGAGGGTCAGGGGCCCTACAGTTGGGAGACAGTGTCACATTAGCTAGCTGCCAGAGAATGAAGAGCCTGACAGGGTTCCTGGGGGAAGCAGAAGTCAGAAGGCAAGGAGGTAGCATTAGACACGATCACTCACAGCAAGTGCCATAGCCAAGCCTAGAGAGAAACAGCCCAGTGTCTCCAAGAGCCTGGGTGTGTTTGATGACACTGAAGACCTTACCTAGTGAAGGCCACATGTTTAATGCTTCCAACACCTCCAGGATAACAGGACAGACTCTTAAGCACTTAGGTTTCCCTCTGAACTCCTTGAGAACAGTTTGTGGCACACAGCAACTTTGGGCCATGTTGCAAGCGCTAGACTGCCACTTGGGATTTTTGTTGGGGGAGGGGTCTTTTCCCATAGTAGTTCTCAGAGGAAGCATTTTCTTCTGCCTTTTATACAAGAATCAGCTGAGGCCTTAGCATGTTCCCAGCAAAGCATCCTCATAAGCCTCAAGTAGAAAGGCCAGGAACTATCCTCAGTATCCAAGCAAGAACCCATTGTGCCATAGAGGCTAAATACATACAGAACCTTCATGTCCGCTATAAACAAGAGGCTGCAAAGTGCTGGGAACCCAGTGAAATAGCTTATGTGCAAGGCCCTTAGCATAGAGTCCTTCTCTGCTCTCCCACAGCATTCTGCCTGGCCCAGCCCCAGAGAGGAGCTAAGAAGTAGCCTGCCAGCACTTGCCCTTGAGTTGTAGCTATGAATAGTCTTTAAATTTTCAACAGTGCCCTTCCTTGTTTACAGCTTCTTCCCCACATAACGACATTGCTGTGGCCAAACCAGGGCAGCAGCGGGCATCTGTGTCCTTCTAGAATAGTAGTTCTCAACCTATAGGCTACAACCCTTTTGGGGGTCAAACAGCCCTTTCACAGGGGTCACATAAGACAATCAGGAAACACAGATATTTATCTTAAGATTCATAACAATAGCAAAATCACAGTTATGGGGTAGCAGTGAAAATAAGTTTATGGTTGGGATCACCACAGCATGAGCTGCTGTTTTAAAGGGTTGCAACACTGGGAAGGTTGACAACCACCACTCTAAAAGCAAGGAGAAATTGGATGTTCTAGGCCGAGGGCCTTTCAAGACTGCAAAGATTCTCGATTCTCAAAGTGGAGCATTTTCCTTTTATGCGGACAGGTTTCATAAAGCCTACATGCCCACCTGTGCCTATGAGGTCAGAATTCTCGACAGAGGTCCAGTCTTTTGAGACTTCTTGCCAGGCAATTTGTATGAGTGTCCTGATTGAGAACTGTAAGGCTGGGCATGACCTTCGGCCTTTTTTGTGTGGTTTTAGTTTCTATAATTTTCCTATCGCATCACTTTGACCCTCTCACTAAATATGAATAGTGTATGACTTCTCTACCTCTGAGGGCACCAAGAACAGTGAGCCCGGTAGGCAGGTATTGGAAGCACCTTACTGTGTGTTTTTCAAGCAAATGCTTTCCTGGAGAGTCACAAGACTTCATCTCAGAGGGCCACCACCTTTAAGATTCATCATTTGACAGCCACAACTAACTGTGGAAGAAATGTATGGGTTACCTATTTAATAATGAGTTACCAATGTAATAATATTTAAAGAGATGTAAATAAGCAAACCAGCCCTTGTTCCCTTTGTTCCCCAGCCCCTGCTCTTATTCTGCTCCTTCATAAAAGACCCATCTTTAGCCCATCAGGTCCTTGCTCTCCTCCCCTCACAGACCATTGGCCTACGTGCTTTCACTAGAAAGATAATTGGGAAAGGATTCTGTTGTTAATGGGAACCACCTTCGCTGAGACGCAGTATCTCCTTCCATTGTGTCCAACTTCCTCCTTTTTCTTTCTCTCCCCAGGACCAGCTGCAGGCCCAGGACTTCAGCAAATTCCAGCCCCTGAAGAGCAAGCTGCTGGAGGTGGTGGATGACATGCTTGCACACGACATTGCCCAGCTCATGGTGCTGGTGCGCCAGGAAGAGACCCAGCGGCCTGTCCAGATGGTGAAGGGTGGAGCATTTGAGGGAACCCTGCAAGGCCCCTTTGGGCATGGCTACGGAGAGGGGGCCGGGGAGGGCATTGATGACGCTGAGTGGGTGGTAGCCCGGGACAAGCCTATGTATGATGAGATCTTCTACACCCTGTCCCCGGTGGATGGCAAGATCACAGGTGCCAATGCCAAAAAGGAGATGGTACGCTCCAAGTTACCCAACAGCGTGCTGGGCAAGATCTGGAAGCTAGCTGACATTGACAAGGATGGCATGTTGGATGACGAGGAGTTTGCCCTGGCCAACCACCTTATTAAAGTCAAGCTGGAGGGGCATGAACTGCCTAACGAGCTGCCTGCCCACCTCCTTCCTCCATCTAAGAGGAAAGTAACTGAGTGACAGAGACAGGTAACTTCAGACAGGCAGTGTTAGAAGAGAGGATGGGCATGATGACCACACACACACACACACACACACACACACACAACTCGACAGTCACACTGTAAATGAGAAGGGTTCTTCCTTGTTTGAATACCTCTCCAAGTTCCCAGGGTTGGTAGAAGGGCAGCTTTACCTCCTATGTCCTAGGGTATAAGCCTGTGTTCCCACACTCCATCTCTCATCCCCCAGAGACATGAGGCAATCAACTGGCCACAGATGGCCCGCCCACCCTATCCCCCAGTGCCTCCCGCTTAGGTTCTGAGCAGATGGAAAAGGCTTTCCATGGAATAGACAATTCGCTTCATTTTCTGTGCTTTTATTTTTCCTCTTTGCCTTCCTAATTAGAAGTTTACTCAGGGGCTGGGAGCTGTGAGGGAAAGGAGAATCTGGGAGAGATTAATCACATCAAGAAACCTCCTTAGGGTACTACATCCCAGACTAGAAGAGACATTGGCCTGTGTTCTTTGTATTTTTCAAAACCTAGGACTCTGTCTTCCTCAGCAGACTTGGACCTCGAACTCTGCCTGCCACTTTGTGTCAAAGAACCCGAATGGGGAGAGAAAAGGAAAAGCTTATTAGGAAAGCAGACAGGAGCTGCCCTGTGGTCTTCTTGAACAGGGCAGCCATAGTTCATAGGTTTATCAGGTCCTTTTTCCCCAGCCTCAGATGTCTGGATACTCAGTTTCTTTACACACACCAAGCCATTCCTGGGTGAGAGGAACAGTGTCAGGCACTTTATATGTGTTGGTCCCTGCGGGCTTCACTAATGCACTAGGTAAGAATGTATCACTCCCATTCCTGAACCAGAGACTCAGAGTAGTTTAGGGGATCTTTCCAAACTCCTGGAGGTCACGAGGAGAGATTTAAATCCAAGGCTTAAGACCCCTCTATTTCTCCCTGTTGTGTGATGGATAAAAGGCCCCAGTGTTGCTACCTGGTGACAAAGCACAGAACAATTCAAACACACAGTCCCTCATGCGGCCTCCAAGAGCATCCAAGCAAGGGAGTGGGGCTCACCAGCATTTGGTGGGCTATCAATCTGGCCATCTGTCACCTTGAAGAAGCAAACTGTGCCTTCTGGCCCTGGGCCTCGTGTTCTCAACATCACAGGAGTCCACAACCAAGCCATCAGGAGAGTGGGCTGGCCTGCTAGATGGTGTTTGTGTTTGTTCCCACTCAGCCTCCCAGCCATCAACCTGAAGCATCCCAAATTCAGCCACGGGCTGTTACCAAGCAGTACTGTGTGCTAAGTCATAGAAGGCCATCGTGAGAGTGCTGAGACCTTGTTCTCTGTAGAGTTCCGGGGACTGGTGTCCTCAGCAAAAATCTCTGTGCTCAGTACCCTCCATCCTCCTCTGTGGTCTTTCCCTGGGCTTGCTCCATGGCCACTGGCCCAGTGACTTTCTGCCACACTCCTACTGTGATGGAGAGCAAAGCAAGTATAACTTATTTTGTATCTATGTTCAGACTATATTAACTGTTCTGTGTATCTACAATGTGCTTATCGCTGCAGTGTGTTTGTCATTAGGATTCATGTTAATACAACCCATTTACCATTTGGTACCCTTTTGGCAACCGAGCATCATTGCATAGCATTGGATTCTCACATGGGGTGCCCAGTGGTAACTTTGGAAGAGAGTGGCTCACTCCACTCAAAGGTCATGAATGCATGTCACAGTGTTGTTCCTATCTAGTGGGCAGCTTACATGACTCTACAAGGGCCACTGCTTCCTGCTCTTCTGGAGTAGAGATGTTTACTTCAGCAAACATGAGTCAATAGTAGAGGAAAGCCAAGACAGAGAGGTCTCCACTCAAAAGACAGCCCCAGAGTAACCCAGCAGAGGATCCACTCTCTATGCCTGTCTGTAAAATAAGAAAATAGTAGAAGTCTGTTTTAGTTTGTATGAAAGCTGGATATGTGTGTGTCCCATGTCACAGGATACAACGCTCGTACCACATTCCTGCTCTTCTCTACCTCCCTGTCTTCCTATCTTGTCTTCAAGACCACCCAGGAGGATCCAGAAGGTATAAGAATTCCACATTTCTTCGCTCTGTCATCTGGAGGGAGGAGGTCATGCCTGGGTGGGGGGTGAGAGGTCGGAGTTATTCTTGCTTGGGTAGTACTCCTCTGGCTCTGGTTGTTGTGACTTGCCGACCCCTTGCAGGACCTGAGGACATGCAGTGACCCCATGTCTCAACCAAGGGAACATTCCACGTGAAACGCAAAGACCCAGGGTGGCCATTGCATTTATAAAATCCTCTACTATCCCTTTCTCCCACGTGATCAGGCCAGACCATGAAGATTGTCAATGAAGCAGAAACATCCCACAATGCTGGCCCAATGAAGCTAGCCTCTGCAGCAAAGAGTTAAATCCTGACCAAAATAGAGCTACATGTGCAGGCATCTAGGTGAACTGTCCATCACAGCAGGGTGTGGGCTGACCTTTGCTGACTAGTGAGAGGTTTCTCAGAGTCGTCCTCTCTCTCTCCCATTTGGCTCCCTCTGTTACAAGAACTAGTACGAGTGAGATTGTTCATCAAGAACTCTCTGGGGAGAATAAGCTTGCTCACTCTCCCTATGAGATGCCAGCTGGCCTCTGTACATATTCAAACTATTCTGTAGTTTGACCATCCATCCATGTATCATCTTTAATTTGAGAGATCCTAAGGACTTCCCACAGAAAGACTCTTAGAAAAAACATAGGGATTTATTGTTTGAACCATTCAGAAATACTTAATAAAGTCTACTATTTTTTATTCATCAAACTGACATCCTAGAACTTCAGAAAGCTCATGTCCTGTGGAGAAGTAAGATGTTTGTAAAACACTGATAATTCAAAGAGGTGTTGGAGGCAGATACAGGCAACATGAGCACTCAAGGGAGTCCATAATGCCTTCAAGACAGAATGAAGATAGAAGTCACAGAAAGCCTGGGGTGAGGATGGACAGAGTTACACAGAGGCAGGTATAGCATTTGGAAAGAAAAACTACAATTCCCAGGTTTCCTTGCGGTCAGGTTCAGGAGATGATTTTAGGTCGTGTCCACCCAGTATTCTAATGGAATCCAGGAACTCCTTCTTTGGAAATGCTTACCAAGAACGCAGAAAATTTTCTGGGGCAAGCCTCTTGGGACCTCTCCTTCCCAAGGAAATCCAACGATGATAGACAGAATTTTTATACAAACTTAGACAGTGTTTCCAACCCAGCAAATCATAGCAGACTTAGAAAGACTGCAAAGTATGATTAGAATTTTGCTTCTGGGACTGTGCTAGCTTTTTTTTTTTTTCATGAGACATTGTAAGTGAAAATTTTATCCGTATCTTCAGTGCATGGAAAAAGAGAAAAATATGGTCCTGAAGGAATGTCAGCCATCCCAGCTGAGCAACAAGCCTGCATCCTCCTAATTGAGTCTCATCCCTCCCCTTTAACAGTAGGTGGGCCATGCAGCTGCTTTGAATAGTTAAACAGGGGTGTGAACAAACTGTGCTGACTTACGGAAGCAAGTGTGCATGTTGCCACGTTGTGTACTCGTAACTCGTGAGTGCCCGTGGGAGCTATTGTGATGATAAGCCCTGGTCAGCCGCAGTGTGTGTCTCTCTAAAGTCCTTCCCTGGCCCCAGTGGGCAGGTGAGATGGACAAGAATAAACTCTAGTCATTTTGCTTTTTCATCACTGGTGTCAGAGACCTTTGCCACCATGACCAAGAGACCTGATGAGCCTTTTCCCCAGGACAAAGTTGTTGGGAGACTGAGTTCCTGCTCTCTTAAGAAGCGAAGGCACCTGATGTTAAAAGGAAAGATGATCTATGCCTGATCCATGCTTAGCCGTGTTCCAGAGCCTGACCCTTCAGTGGGGCAGCTGAGAAAACGGCTCTCAGTAAAGTACCTACCGCGAATGCCTCAATACCTGAGTTCAGATCCCCAGCACCCATGAAAAAGCTGGGTGTGGTTTTAAACATCTCTTACCTTAGTTGGGGGTGGGGAGTGGAATTAGCCAGCCAGTCTAGCCAATGAATGAGCTCTGATTCTGAGACACTTTGTCTCAAAAAATAATAGAGAGCAATTGAAGACACTCCGTGTTGACCTTTGGCCTACACACACACAAATATACACTCAAAAATAGGCACACATATACACTGCCTACAGATTCATGTACACACATACACACATACACTATACACATATACACAGGAAACTACATTTACAGCATGAAACTGGTAGGACTGGCCTGGGCAGGAGTGTAAGTGTTGAGAACTAGATACTTGTCTGCTAAGAGCTACACAGGATCAAACAGATAAGTTGGAAAAGAGAAAAACTGTAATTCCAAGGCTTCCTTGCAGCCAGATTCCAGGGAGGATCTTCGGTCCTGCCCACCAGGTATACTTAAGGGAATCTGCTTAAGTGGATAGCTGGAGGTGACTGTAGCAAAGGTAACATCAACTTCCAGGCTTTGCAGCTTCGTAACCATGATGGAGTGGGCTGGAAGTTTTTGAAAGGTTAAATAGCCTAATGGCTAACATGCTGGTAGACGATGCTGTGAAAGCCCAACAGCCACCTTGTGTTTGCCTACCTAATGCTGTGGACCTTGCAGGTAGCATGAGTCAGGTGGTGTATCTGTGTGTGTGTGTGTGTGTGTGTGTGTGTGTGTGTGTGTGTGTGTGTCTGTATATGTCTCTATGTCACTGTGTGTTTCTAGGTGTGTCTTTCTGTCTCTGTATGTGTGTGCATGTGTATATGTCTGTGTGTGTGTGTGTATGGGTGTGGTGTGTTGGGATCAACTTGTGAGGGTACTCTGAAGTGGTGCTTACCGGATAGGTGAAGAGGATTAGGCAGGGCAAAGCTTTCCAGAGAGAATGGCATGGGAATTTGCAAAGCAATGATCCTTCTCAGAGGACTGGGGAGATGGTTCCCTGGCTAGTGCTTGCTACACAAACATGAGGACCTGAGTTTGGACCCCAGCACCGATGTGAACACGAGGGTGACATAGTGTGCACCCAGGACCCCAGGACTGGGGAGCTAAGGGACAGAGACGAGTAACTCCCTGGGGCTCATTAGCCAGCCAAGTTAGCTAACTGATGAGCTCTTGGTTCAATGGGGAACTTTTCTCAAACAAGGCAGAGAGCAGCTAAGGAAGGCACCAGATACTGACCTCTGGCTTCCAAACACATGTACCCAGCATGAACACATGTTATAACAGTCCTTTTATGAGAATTGTTGAGACGAGATATCCTGAGGACACTCAATACTGTAAAATAAGCCTTGTTAGAAACTGGTTCTATTTACTTTCCTTAGGATTCATGAGGTGGATCCCTTTCCCTAAGAAAGCATCAGCGAAGCCACAACTGGACAATGGGTCAGCACAAAAACCATAGCTGCATAGATGGAGGTTGGGAAAAGCAGGTACTGGAATATCAGGTTACCTGAGTTCCAGCACAAGACCAGCCATGTGGTTCTTCATGCCTCCATTCATTGTTCCCCTAAGTAGAAGTACATAAAGTCTTTTTGAGCCATGAGGCTACGGAAAGCTCACCGCTAATACCAACACTCTATATGGGTTAGTTTTATCGGCTACTAGAAGAAACAGGCATCAGAGAACAGAGGAGAATTCTATGCCAAGGAAGGAAACCAGCTAACCCCAGGGAAGGCATGGAAGGAGATGAGAGCTGAATTTCAGAGGGGATGGGCAGAGCAGTGCTCAAGAAATGATGGCTAAAAAGTGTTCAGGATCCTGTACACTACCTGGGTGGCACTTGTGACCTTAGGCTCTTGAGCCCACTGCTACTCAGAAAAACACACAGATGCTATGATATGGTAGTGACTGGGCTGGAGACAGTGGACACACTGATTGGATGGGTCTGTAGAAGTAGTGGCTTCGACACAGACCACCTGAGAACTTCAGAGGTTATGGCAGAGCCTCCAACGCTGAACGCAAGATTCCAATGGCAAGCATCTGCCTTCATAAAAGCACCTGGGTTTCTGCTTTTGTTTTGTTTTAGAAAACCTAGTCTGTTTTCAAGGCATTTCTACAACCTTGTTTGAAACTATAATCAGTTAAGCTGGGCACAATAGCACACACCTCAAATGTCAGCACTGGGGGGAGGGGAAGCAGAGGAAAAATGATCGATGAGTGTTCACAGTCAGCCCAGCCTATATAATAAGTTCCGGGCCACTCAGAGCTGCCTATTGAGACCCTGTAAAACTGTAATGGTGACAAATAGATCCTTCTAGAGAGGAGGTGACCTCCCTTGCTTCCTGATCCTATCACATGATGGGACTAGGGTTTGGCTCACCATTGAACAAATAAACTCATTGTATTAGCATCATGAGGATGCTAATACAACCTGACTTTACTCTAGGTGTCCTTGATCATAAGGACACTCCCTTTCCTTGCCCCCTTTTACTGCCTGTGCTGTCTCAGGGTGCCCTAATCCTCTACCATCTGGACCTTTTGTCCCTTACTAGGCCAATAGTCCATCCCATCCTCCATGGCTATTCCATCCCTAAGCAAAAGGCACTACTATAAGCCTGCCGGCTGATCTGAGGAACAAGGAGACTACAGGTGAC